ACCAGCAACTCAACATGCTCCGTGTAGTGAGGGGCCCAAAACTGAACACAGTATTCGAGATGCAGTCTCACCAGTGCCAAGTACAGGGCACGATCACTTCCCTACTCCTGCTGGCCACATTATTTCTGAGACAGACCAGGATGCTGTTAGCCTTCTTGGCCACCTGGGCACACTGCTGGCTCATGTTCAGCCAGCTGTCAACCAGCACCCCCAGGTCCTTTTTTGCTGGGCAGCTCTCCAGCCACTCTTCCCCAAGCCTGTAGCATTGCATGGGGTTGTTGTGACTGAAGTGCAGGACCCTGCACTTGGCCTTATTAAACCTCGTACAGTTGACTTTGGCCCATCGATCCAGCCTGTCCAGATCCCTCTGCAGAGCCTTCCTGACCTCCAGCAGATCAACACTCCCACCCAACTTGGTGTAGTCTGCAAACTTACTGAGGGAGCACTTGATCCTCTCATCCAGATAATTGATAAAGATAATAAAGAAGACCGGCCCCAGAACCAATCCCTGGGGAACACCGCTTGTGACCGGCTGCCAGCTGGATTTAACGCCATTCACCACGACTACGTTAGAGCTCTACTTGGTTTCAGTTATCCAGAAAGGGTGGAGGTCTGCATCAGTGTTAACTCTGATTATTGGTGCTCTTCTGAGAGCTTGCTTGAATAGCTAAATTCTTTGAAATAGATTTTGTGCTTCTATTCCTGTGCTCAACTTTTTTTTGTTTGTTTGGTTTTGGTTTTTTTCTCTATTTTTCACCCATTTAAGCTGCTACTTAGAATCTGGCTTTTGATAGAGTTTCTGGTTTTTTTCTTCAGCTTTGGTGGTTTGGGGTGTATACAACAGGCTAGTACATACACTTCTGTAGGGTAAGATACTTCAGGTCTTCGTGGAATTTGAAGGCTTGAGGAACTGTGATGATGTTCTGCATCCTGGGAGGAAGTCTGCCTAGCTTGGTACTCGCTTCTGCACTACTTGGAAGGCCGTTGTGTGGTTTTTGTTCTCTGAACCCCTATCTTGCACCTCCTTCCTTTCCAAGAGGCTTTCCCTGCACCGCTGGTGAATGTGAAAGTCCAAAATCTCATTTGCTGTTCCTCAACTTTGTGTCTTTTTTTTTTAACATATTGTAGTATGTATAACATGCAGAGGCCTTACTGGCCTCCACATATGGGGCTCAATTTACTTTTGCTATAGCTATTTTTGGTTTGACACGAGAAATGTCAGTGCCACATAGTATGAGATGATGAATTGCTGTGTACTGTACATATCCATGAGTCTGGGATATCATCTGAGTGGTGGCATCTTGCCAAATACATTTCAGTTCTGTTACTTCATATTCTTTTGAAAGGCCTGTTACGTAGCCTGAGACAACTACCACTATGCTGGACTTCTGCTTAAGCTATTTGTGAACTGGTATCATCATATTGCTTTGAGAACTATGCTGAAAGTTTAAGCTTCAGAATTCTGTCTGAATATTTCAGATCTTTCCCTTTACATTCTTTTAACTCATAATCTGGACAAGATTCTTATTTACAGAAGAAAAATGTCTAGCACTTGTGCTAGGCACAGTGAAGACAGCACTGCAGTTTTTCGTGCCGTGCCAAAATAGATAGTCAGTTTTGGTTTGATATTGCTTTATCATCAGTTTACTTCTACAACAAATGGGAGAACACTTAGAAAAATAAAATACAAGAAAGTAAAAATCAAGCAAATATTGTAGCACAGCTTTATGTTCAAAGTTTTCTGCAAGCATAGTATATTATTACAGTTGTCCCTACAAATGACTTTGTGAGTGTAGTATTTTTATGGGGACAGCTGTAACAATATGATTTTGACTTTTTTTTTTTCTAAGAGTGTTCAGATTTTAGGTGACACCTGAGAGAGGATTAAATGTTCTTGATTGTTCCTGAGATTTAAATGCATTTCTGCTTTTACTGTGACTCTTGGTTTTGTTTGAAAATGAGACATCGTAAGTCATTGTAAGCTTTCTCCTGAACCCCTGAAGACAGCAATCACTACTGCACATAGCTTGATGTAGCTGCAGTAGCTGC